CCAGTTCGCTATCTGAGGAGCGAAAACTAAGAGCTATTTATGAGAAAGCAAAAATAAAGGAAATGAATATCCATCAGGATCATTTTTCTYGTCTCAGTGCACATTTCGATGTTTTTGTYATTGTATATTRCTTTTGCTACAAGTATTTTTMTTRTTSKWCCAAAGCAGACTRTTACTGTTTTTTTGCCTCCAYTCAKAAYAAATTTTTGTTTTCTTTTCTCAGGAAGTAGGACAGCAACAGGGTCCGATTTTTAACTAAACTGGTGCTGTGTTATATGCGCCTGTTGGGAGTGATTGGTTGTCTGAAAATATCAAAACAAAACYACGCCAAAGAAAGAGCAAGAGAAATGATGTGTCCAGCTATGATAGTGACTATGACGTCATATGACTACTGATCAGAACACATACTTCACTTTCATAGTATTGCGTCACTTCTTGACGGACAAAGTCTTCATTGTCGACAGTGTATTGACTGTTCRTGCTTTGAACACTGCCTTCATCTCCTTTGATTCCTGGCACTTGTCTTAAATTATCTACATGTGAAACAATGCGCAGTTCTTTGGTCAATGACATGACTTGGGTAGTAATAATGGGTTAGTACTTCATGTAGGACCCGACCCAATAACCCTAATASAGTAATATATTAATACTGACCTGACCTGAAGTACTAGAGACCTACTAATGTGTCTCTGCCGTATGTACGACAGGTCAGGGTCTTTATAAAGAATGTTTCTACTGCATCACATCCTGGCAGTGAGATTTAGCCGCAATTTATGATGCTTGAAATTTCACGAGCTTATCAGCTGTTAACGCCATAGTAAAAGATTTAAGCAAATGTATCTTGGAGGTCTATGTAAAGTCAAAAACTGCACGAGGTCTCAGCGCAGCTAGTAGTCGATCGAAAGACTCATCCAAAGGCAGTTTCTAACTATACAGACTGACATTAAGCTGRTAACTATTTGGTTTTGCTTCTGTTTGCTAAAATTCCATTTAGGGGTTTCATTTCCCGCCAGCTCGTGTGAACTGTGCAAGCAATGCTACGGTGAACCAGAACTGAACCACTTTTGTTTGTCCCATTAAACAAAGCTGTTAAAAGATAAGACCATTCGGACCATTGTGATGCTGGTTTTCGTCGCTCACGTGTATTCAAGAGTTGCGTCAAAAATGCTGTACAGTACAAGAATGCACACATGTTTTGATTGCTCGATTGGATTTGCTGAATTACGCATTTGTGTCCTGTAATATAATGTGTGTCTGCTGTACGGAGAGGGTTTTAKTGTTAATTGTAGACGGATTCCTCCACMGAGACCCTGCTTAATACTACACTCACCTTGCTCTCCTAGTCCAAGCACAAACACTTTGTTACTAATGTGACGCACGGGGGAAGGGTTGSAGGTAACTGAACGCGCCAGGCGAAATCCAAGATGCTGGAAGAAATGTGGACGAAAACCAAAA